ACTCAAAATGGATTAAAGAATTAAATATACATCCTGAAACAATAAAACTCCTTAAAGAAAACAGGGGAAACACACCAGGAAGTAGGAGTGGGTCCAGACTTCATGAATATGACCCCCAAAGCACAGGCAACCAAAGGAAAAATAAACAAATGGGATTATATCAAACTAAAATGTTTCTGCACAGCAAAAGAAACAATCAACAGAGTGAAAAGACAACCAACAGACAACAGACTGGGAGAAAATATTTGCAAAATATACATCTGACAAACGATTAATATCCAGAATATACAAGGAACTCAAACAACTTTACAGCAAAAAAAAAACAAAAAAACTCAATTAAAAAAAGGGCAAAGGAGCTGAATAGGCATTTCTCAAAGGAACATATATGAACGGCCAACACACACAGGAAAAAATGCTCAACATCACTCAGCATTCGGGAAATGCAAATCAAAACCACACTGAGATACCATCTCACTCCAGTTAGGATGGTTAACATCCAAAAGACTGAGAATGATAAATGCTGATGAGGTTGCGGAGAAAAAGGAACTCTCATATACTATTGGTGGGAGTGCAAAATGATGCAGCCTTTGTGGAAAATGTTATGGAGGTTCCTCAAACAATTACAGATAGATCTACCATATGACCCAGCTATTCCACTGCTGGGAATATATCCAGAGGAATGGAAATTACCATGCTGAAGGGATACCTGTACTTGCATGTTTATTGCAGCACTAGTTACAATAGCCAAGAGTTGGAACCAGCCCAAATGTCCATCATCAGATGAGTGGTTAAGGAAACTGTGGCATATCTACACAATGGAATACTACTCTGCTATAAAAAAGAATGAAATACTACCATTCACAACAACAATGGATAGACTTAGAGAAAATAATAATAAGTGAAAGAAGTCAGGCACAGAAAGAGAAATACCACATGTTCTCACTTATTTGTGGGAGCTAAAAATAAATATACAAACAAATAAAGGGTGAGGGAAGAAGATACAACAATCACAACAGTTCCTTAAACATATTAAGACAAGTGAACAGGTATGATGTAGCGTGGAGGGGAGAGAGGGCAGGGGGAAAGAGGAACAGATAAAGGGACATGAAAATCAACTACAATGTATTGAGAAGTTAAAATAAAAAGTATAAATAAATAAATAAAATGGGAGGACAATAAAGAGTGAATATGAAAAAAAGCAAATGTTTTTAGTAATCATTTTGGTGGTGGTCTTAGTACTGTTAACTCTAAACTACTATGTACATAATAAATAATAAAATAGGGCCGAGCCCATGGTGCACTCGGGAGAGTGTGGCGCTGGGAGCACAGCAGCGCTCCCGCTGCGGGTTCGGGTCCTATATAGGGATGACCGGTGCGCTCACAGCGCTCACTGGCTGAGCGCGGTGCGGCCAGTCTCAAAAAGGACAAATAAATAAATAAATAAATAAATAAATAAATAAATAATAAAATAAATTAGTAATATTTGAATATTCTAATTCTATCATACCCATCTATGGCCATGCCACCCATCCATGAAATGCCATTCCTCACTAAAAGAAACCAGGGCTTCTTAGAGAAATGAGTGATTCCAGAAGTACAAGATAAATCTTATAACACCAATTAGAAAGGAAAGTAATCCAAAGTCTCTGAAGCCAATTTGAAGAGGCTCCCAACTAGACAAAGGTGGGACAATTTGAGCTTCAATAATGACAATAATTGGAAGTTACTGAAACCAATGAAATATGATTAAATCCAGGAGTTCATAATTTTTTTAAAACTGGTCATCTTTCAAGGATGACAGAGAACCAGTTCATTATCTTGAAAACTGGTATACAAAAGTAAAGAATCAAGTATTTATCCTGCCTTTCCTATACGAACTATACAACTGGTTTACCAAATAATAAATAAATGGGAAGTACCTATTTATAACAATATTCCAACTAATAAAGAAAAGATAGAATTAGACTCTCACCATTTTGCAATTCCCAATTAATTAAGAGATATAGGCATTAAGTGTAAAAGGGTGCTAATGTCACAAAAGAGAACCAATCAGACAATTTGGACTCCTTATAAGTCCTGCTGAAGGAAATCAGATTTGGATTCTGGATCAATGTACCAATTTTAAGGAAACACAGAGAATAGAGGAATATAATGATCTGTACCATGAATATGCAATTAGGAAACTCCAGGCTATGGAAAACTTTACGGTCACATGTCTCTAGTTCTTCAACAGATAAATTTTAAGAAAAAGAAAGGAATAGAGGGATAACCTATAAAAAACAATTTTTTTTTTTTGTCTTTTTGTCTTTTTTCGTGACCAGCAACGGATCGCAACCCTCAGTGTGGTGCCCTAAAAAACAATTTTTTAAACATATCAAATTTTTTAATGGGCATGAGTAAACTATAGTGTTTAGGGATGAACATTAGATGATAAAATTATAAAGATATGCAAAGAAGTGATTACCATAACAGTTAGGATAATGGTGTGTTTTTATAATGATTATTTAAAGTGGGAAGGGGGTTGCAATTGGAATGGGACACACAGAAAGGACTTCTGGGGTAAGTGACAAAGTTGTACTTCTTGACTTGGGTAGTGGTTACAGGATGTACCCTATAATTCATTAGGTCATATATTTGGTTTTTGTGGATTTTTGAATTTTCACTTCATAATAAAAATATTTAAGGGGCAATTTTTTCTTAATCTGAATGACAGATATATGTTTTCGTTATATCACATTTCTTTATACTTTCTATGTATTTTATAACTATTTTTGTACCTATTCAGCACTGATTGAAATTTTAAGCAAAAAAAACCAGATTGTTCATAGTGAAAAGTCTTCCTGATTAAGATCATAGTCTAAACGCCTTAGATGAAATCCAGATCCTGCCATTAATCAACTTTCTAAGCCTCAATTTCCTCTTACGTAAAACGGACATAATAAAAGATCTGAAGTTAATGAATAATTAAATACTATACTATTAATTTACTGTATTAAAAAATGAATTTCTTATTTTCCATTTCTAACATACCTTTTAGTTTAGGCCAAGAAAACATATGTTTATGGACAAGCAATTTTATTTCATTTAAAGGACCAACTAATCAAGATTTGTAATTCCTTGCTACTCAATACAGAAATCCCTCCTAATATAACAGCACATAACAATTCATTCCTTTAGCAATGTATCTACTGAATATAGAACACTACTTGGCACAAAGTTAAGAAAGGAAAGTCCCTGCTCTGATAGGCTGTTATTCTAGTAGCGTGAGACAAACCGACATAAAAAAATCAACAGATGTCTAGTAGTAATAAGTCTAAGAAGAAAAATAAAGACGGATGATGTGATAGTTGTGAGAGAGGGAAGACCTCTCATAAGAGAAATAATTTTTTTCCTTTTAGGGAACAAACATTACAGCAGAAGAAAGCAAGTACAAAGGCACTGAGGTAGAAGAATACCTTATGTGTTCGAGAAGCAGCAAAGTTCATTTGGCTAGAGCAGAGTCAGCAAGAGTACAGTGGTAAGACATTATATCAAAGAAAGTGCAAGGAAGACTCTGTAGGGTTTTATAGGCCATGGTAAGAGTTTGGGATTTTGTTCTTAATAAGAAAAGAAACTACTTAGCATAGGACTGCCATGTTCTAACTTATTTTAAAATAATCACTTTGCTGTGTGAAGAATACACTAAGGAGGATAATGAAGGGAGCAGCTAGACCACTTAGGAAGCTACTTCAATTGTCCAGTCAAGAAATGGTAGTGGTTGGTACCATAGAAATAGAAGTGGAAATGAGGAAAGTTTTAGATTCTGGATATCCTACTTTTTATACAGTTTCAGCAAGTACACATACACAAAATTTTCCAAAATGCTAATATCTTCTAAAAATATTTTTATAGAAATAAAAGTCCTTATAAAAGTTTTTTTAAACATACAGGAACTGAAAGATTATACTTTAAAAGATGGCTAAACCACCAATCTATGAGAGACAGCAGCTCTTAAGTGTGAAAGCTTTAAAGTCAGATTTCTTGTTTTGATTCTAGCTCAACTACTTACTAGGTATGAAAATTATAGCAACATTTCTTGCCTCAGTTTTCCAATTTGTCAAATGGGAATAACAACAATAGCTACCTCGTAGGCCTCTTGTGATTCAATATGAAAATGAATATAAAGAATTTAGCTGACATACAGTAGCAACTCAATAAATATTAATTATTAAATGTATTATTCTATTCCTCCTAGTTTCCACTGCTACAGGTTCCCACTACTACTTTTTCCCATTGTTACTATTTATAATATCCCCTTTTATAACTGGTTACATGTTCATTTAAAAATTATCACAATAAAAATGAACTTAAAATGTTCCTAACATGTTATCTATTTAATTGATATGGTTTTTAATAGAACCCATAGTTTTTGCTTTAGCTATAACAAAGCACTCTGATTTCTAGTATACATTTTCTTAAACTGATGGGGATCAATCCTATTAAGGATAACTCAGTTTGGATTTGCAAGAATCCAAAGCAATTCCTAGTAACATTTTTTTCTTCACTTCGAAACTACAAAATTAATGTTTAAAGATCTCATAAGGCTCTAAAAACCCAACAAAAAGACAAGAACAATTATATATGAACTATAGTCACTTGGACTTTTTGTTTAGTTGGTCACATTCATGATTTTACCATGTTGTATATCTGTCTGTATGGGTTAGGTTCACAAACTGTTTGGGGCAAAATATTTAATGCCCTTTCATTCTTAAAATGCTTTCCACTAAAAATATATGACAGTGGTAACAATAATTGCCTCTGGGAGAAGATAAGATGAGAAGGGCAAGAAAGAGATATACTCTGCACTTAAAACCTTTGACATTATTTGAGTTCCTTCCTTGCACATGCATTAACTTTTCAAGAACATCAAATATTTTTCAAAGGAAAAAAAATTACATTTTCCTAACAATTTACAAAACAATTTTTATAATGTCCCATACTTCAACATAATGGCAGCTTACCAGATTGAAGATGCCAGTAATATTTTAGTGTTGTCTGCAAGAAACTTCAATGGAGGCTCTGCAAGCAGTATACAAGATAAAATTCCTCCACCAAAGCAATGGAGCATAGCAGTAAGCCAGCTTGAAATAGGATTCTTCCATGCCACTTCCACTGCTCCTGAAATGGTAAAGTAAAAACATGGTCTGAGATAGTTGTACGTTTATTAAACAAGCCCTGAGGTGCCAGTTGCACTGAAGAAAATTCCTTAAACTCATAATTTCAACAACTTACTACTATTCAAAGGCATGCCAGTCATGATCATTAAAAACCATATCTTTTGTTCTGTAAAGCAAGACTGAAAACACTTTATTAATGGGTAATTTTTGGCACCTTTAAAATACTCTGTTCAGGCTCTCATTGTCAGTTTCCTAATAGTAGACTATTATAAACAACCTTCCCACCGACTGTCTCCTTTCATCCCAAACCCTACCATAAGTACTCCCAACACAATACGTCAAAGTAATATATTAAGAAAAATTTATAACCTTAAGTACTTTAGAAAATAAAAGAGGCTGAAATAAATCAACTAAGCTTTCAACATGACAGGACAGAAGCAGTAAGAAAAGAAACCCAAAAGTGACAGGTTGATTAGAAATGGATATTCACACCACCTCAACATGAATCCTAATGAATTACTTACTAATTACAGAGGGAAATAACTAATCGTATCTTCAGAGTGGAGAAACCTTGCAGACATCACTGTAAATAATATCAGGTGACTCTTGATAGGATACACTGAGAACACATCACCACATCTGTGATATTTCTACCAAAAATATATAACCTGAACTAATCTAACCAGACAAACCCAAACTGAGGACTACTCTACCAAAAAACAAAACAAAACAAACAAAAAAACCTGCCCTATACTTTTAAACTGTCAAGCTCAAGAAACACACCATAAAAGGCTAATGAAATGTTCCAGATTAAATGATATTAAAGAGACAACAAGTAAATGCAATGTATGTCCTAGATCACTTCCTGCAGTAGGAAATACTTATAAAGGACCTTATTGACAACTGATGAAATCTTAATCTAAATCTAACTGTCTTAAACAATTAAGACTGAGCAAAATGCCCCTAATTTATACTCAAGTGGCTCTGAAAAAATAATATGCATAAATAAAAATGTTCAGAGTGAGAGAGTAGTAATAGGGCAAAATGTAAGAAGCTGGTGAATCTGAGTAAAGTATATAGGAGTTCCTTGACCAATTATTCTGGCAACTTTTCTGTAAATTTGAAATTATCAAAGAAAAAAATTATAGAAATAAATAAACAAATAAACACAGCCGGAGAAATAGAAGCAATTTATAAACTAAAAGTAGAAACTACTCAAAGGAAAACTAAAATAGGGAGCAGAGATAGGCCATCAATAAAATCAACCCAAAGCTGTTCACAGAAAAGACCAATAAAACAGACCATTATTCAGCAAGTCTAAGAAAAAGAAATAACGAATACATAACATTAGAAGAAAAATAAAGAAATAATTCTAGATTAGAGGCTTTCTTTTTAACTAGAGAAAACAACATTTAATCCAATAAATGTGAAGATGTAGTTGAAATGGACAATTTTCTAAGAAACTATAAATTAGCAAAATTCCCTTAAGAACAGGTAGAAATCTGAAAATACAAATAACTATAAACTACACGGTGGTCAAAGTCCTAGCCTAACAAAGGTGTTAGAACTAGATAAATCAATGGAAAACATTTGCCAAATATTTTTGGATTACTCATTCTTATGTTATATAACTATTATAGAGTATAACAAGGGAGAAAAACTTAGATTGTTCCACAAAACAACATAACCCCAACCTCAAAATTGTAAAAAAAAAAAAAAAGAAAAAAGAGAGAATGACAGAGGAAGGAGGGGGAAAAAAGGAAAGAGATAAGGAGGAAACGAGGGATAAAGGGACAGAGGAAGGAAGAAAGGATGGACATACACTAAATTCTAACTTATGATCAACAAACTGAAGAGACACCCTACAGAATGGGAGAAAATGTTCACCAACTACACATCAGACAAGAGACTAATATCCGGAATGTATAAGGAACTCAAACAACTCAACAAGAAAAAAAAAATTACCCAGTTAAAAAATGGGCAAAGGAACTGAACAGACATTTCTCAAAACAAGACATATAAATGGCCAAGAGGCACATGAAAAAATGCTCAATATCACTAATCATCAGAGAAATGTAAATTAAAACCACGAGATACTGTCTCACTTCAATTAGAATGGCTGTCATCAACAAGACAAAAAAATAACAAATGTTGGCAAGGATGTGGAAAAAAGGGAACTCTCCTACACGGCTGGTGGGAGTGTAAATTGGTATAACCATTGTGGAAAACCTTATGCAGTTTCCTCAGAGAACTAAAAATAGATTTACCCTGCGACCTAGATATCTCACTACTACGTGCCGACCCAAAGGAAATGAAATTATTATATCAAAAAGACCCTTGCATTCCCATGTTCATTGCAGCACTATTCACAATAGCCAAGAGATGGAATCAACCTAAATGTCCATCAACAAATGAATAGATAAAAACTGGAATGCAATGGAATACCACTCAGCTATTTTTTTAAAATAATATCCTGTCATTTGCAGCAACATGGATAGAACCGGAAGTCATCATGTTAAGTGAAAAAAGTCAGGCACGAAAAGACAAATACTCACTCATATTTGGAATCTAAAAAGAAAAAGTAGTTTTCATATACGTAGAGCGTTGAGTAATGGTTACCAGAGGCTAGCAGGACGGGGCACACAGAAATGGTGGATTAATGAGTACACTGATATCTATTCTAACTGAATCACTGTGCAGTATATGCATGTATTGAAACAACATACTTTACCCCACAAATATGTACAAATAAATGTTAAAATAAAAAAATTTTAAAAAATTCTAACTTATAAGGCATATACATTAATGACAAACTGAAATCAGTACTGTTTTCAAAAAGATAATAAATCATAGCCAAGTAGATTTTATCCAAAGAATTCAAGTAAAATTCGATATTTAGAAATTCATAAAATCATTTATCATAGTAGAAAATTATTATAACTTCTTTAGACAGATGGTAAAAGGTCACTTCATCAAAACTCAATATTCCAGATTTTTTTTTTTTAAATATGACCGGTAAGGGGATCTTAACCCTTGACTTGTTGTTGTCAGGACCACGCTCTCCCAAGTGAGCGAACTGGCCATCCCTATATAGGGATCCGAACCCGTGGCCTTGGTGTTATCAGCACCACTCTCCCGAGTGAGCCACGGGCCGGCCTAACATTCCAGATTTTTTAAAAAATCTAGCCATCTATGAACAGAAAGAAAAGTACTTAACCTGAATAAAGCCATGAAGGAAAAGATCCACAAATATGACATCAAAATTTAAGACTTCTACGTGGCCAAAGACTGAGATAAAATGTTTTTCAACCTGGCACATAGTAGCAATGAAGTACTGGTTATCATTATTAACACAGAAGTAAATAGGAAGAGAGAATTACCCCTTCCTCTCTACTTCCACCATTCAATCGCACACCTCTCCCGAATTTTGTATGCTTATTTACACATCCACATACTCCTCTTCCCCCTTCTTTCCTTCTCTCTCCTCACCTCATCCTCCTTTGTGTGTTGTTTGGCTGTGTGTACCCCCCACCCGCTAGGCATACGCTTGTTAACATTGGGGATGCATTCTTGAAATGGGAGCTCTAACTGAATGAGAGTTATAATGGGCCCATCACAGCACAGCACAGTCACGATGAAGACATATAGCCAAGGTTACTGATTACTTCTGATAAATATACTATTAGGAAATATTGGCTGGTGTATATCTTCTGCATTCCTTAGTATTGTTCTGAAGGAAGATTTAGCATTACCTTCATTAGACACTCACCATTCACTGGTGAGGCCAAATCCAAATACCCCTACATTCTCCTTTGACAATAAAACAATCCAAAGCAAATTTGCTAAATGCTTTCACACAAGTATTTTCTCATGTAACATTCATTTCTAATTAAGTCTATGAAAATAATTTTCTTTTCCCTTGACTTTCAGCTATTTTCTTCATTCCTTTTAAGACATATCACATTCTAGATTTTGTTTACAAGTCTCATCTTCTATTAACCTTTGAGACTCTAAACAGAGACTTTAGTATGGTGTAGGTGATCCATTAATGTTTCTCATATCACAAAAAAAATATGTGAAATATTGCAAAGAGTTTACACATTACAATTCTACTACATTAATTTCCTTTACCTAGGATTGTCACAAGTCAGACAGACAGTTGTGACTATGTACTAGTTTTGAAACCTCAGAGTAGGACCTCTTAACCTCTCTTGGCTTAAATTTCATCTTTCATAAAATGGAAATAATGCATACCTTACAGAGATTTAAAAGGAGAAAATATACATAAAACACATACTTACTACCTCGTATATGGCAAACACTCTGCTGATTAATTTAACTGTTGAATGGATTAATCATTGACAGCAGAGAAAAGAGGCAGGCAAAATGAAACCCTTGTGCTGCTTCTGACTCAATTCTCTAAGCCCAAGACATAATTCTACTGAGTTCTTATTGCAAGTTAGGGATGAGAATGATGTATCATGGCAGTGAGAGAGTACTCATAACCCCAAGTCTTAAATCCATGCAACTAAGATTTTATTAGGCAAAAAAAAAAAAAAAAAAAAAAAAAAAAAAAAAAAAAAAAGACAAAAAAAGAACCGAAGTTGGAGGGGATAGGAGGTCTCCCTCACACCATACCTATCTGCCTTAATTTTCAAAGCTATGTCAGCCAGAATAATTTCTTTAACTCAAATTATTCTATTTTTAACATACTGAGACTAAGAAGAGAAAAAAAAAAAATTCTCTGTCCTACCTTGAGTTAAGATGTTTAAAATATGCTACCAATAAAATTCGGGAACGCAGGCCTCAAGGGGAGGCCCTCGGAGGCGGATTTATTTCTGTAAGTCGATGTCATTGACCTAAGATGTGTGGAGCAACCACAGTGCAAGTCACGCGGTGACTTACTGAAGATGTATAAAAAATAAAACGAATATCCTGGCCCCAAGAAATGTGCATTTACCCAAGAGAGAATTTTTAAAAGAAAAAAAAAAAAAACGCAGGTAATTGCACAAAGCAGGTAGTGAGAAGCGTAGATGCTGTGCGAGGGCAGTTCCAGGAGAAGATTGTTTCTGTGCGAGGGCAGTTCCAGGGAAGTGAGTACTGTGACACGTGAGCTGGACTTTCAACGACCGGTGACAGATGGGGGAGGCATTTTGGCTAGTCTACGAAGTGAGAAATGAAGGTGGAAAAGAAGTCAAGGCCTTGAATGGCAGACAGTAAGCCAGGCGGTTCGGGTCCAACGTTTCAACTCTTGATCAGTCACTACGTTATGCTCAGGCCTATCAGAATCCTTTCTCTTAACCATTAGCTAAACCGATAGGGTTTTTTGCAGGGAAGGGGTGCAATCAAGCAACAAGGTTAGGAATAGATCCATGAGAGGAGAATAAACTTCAAAAATCGGAGGGCATTCACTAGTCCAAGCAAAAGGTAGTGAAAGGCTGAGGGCTGTAGGAGTTGAGACCCAGATGGGGAATAGGGTGGATGTCAACCAAAAAATGTAAAGGCCGAAAAGGATCCATATTTGTCAAAAAAAAAAAAAAAAAAAAAAAAGGAAAGTGAGAAGTGGGTGAGTAGGAGGTTATGGTTACATTCAGGAAAATAGGAAACAAGGGCCTGCCCGGTGGCGCACTGCTACAGTGCCCGGCTTGGGAGCCCGGTGGCGCTCCCGCCAAGGGTTCGGATCCCACATACAGACCTGCCGCTCACTGGCTGAGCGAGGTGCGGACGCGACACCGAGGGTTGCGATCCCGTTGCCGGTCCCGGTACGGGCAGGACACCGAGGGTTGCAATCCCGTTGCCGGTCCAGGTCTGGTACAGGCGCGACACTGAGGGTTGCGATCCATTGCCGGTCACGANAAAAAAAAAATTCTCTGTCCTACCTTGAGTTAAGATGTTTAAAATATGCTACCAATAAAATTATTTTCCCCAAAACTCAGCAAAATTTTTCACATTGAGACCTGAATCGAATTCCAAGTATAAGATGTTTAAAATACAAAGAATCATGGACTTTAATATCAAAATACTCTCAATATGAAATGAAAGTTAAAAAGTAAAGTCACACTCTACTCCATAAATTCACCTAAAATCACACCTACAAAATACTTCCACACTCTGGCCAAAATGAACCATTAGACTATGTTTAAAACAGTTTTATTAACTCAGTTGTAACACAGCTTGGAAAAATACTTTCTGATGTACAGCATGACTTCTTTATTATGTTGTACTCAGTCTATTTTAGTTCAACAGTGGGTTCCTATTTTTAAGAACGAGTTGCACTGTAGCTAACGTTCAGATTGCCAATGGTTGATATGACTTCCAGAAAGCAGCATGGGAATGTTCTAGCCTCCTACAGCCTCAACCCCAGATGATAAGTATTTTTAAATTGAATATTAGTATACTTTTGCTTTAGTCGTTCAGCTTTACAAATTTATCTCCTTAAAACAGAGAGAGCGGCCGCTGACCCACACAGTTCCCATGGTCGAGCTGGAGGGACGCCAAGGGCCGGCTCGTCCGACCCCTCAAGTACAGATGGGGAAACTGAGGCCGGGGAGAGACAAGGCCCCGGGACTCGTCAGAGGAAGCGCGACCCAGGGTCCCCGTCGCCGCATTAGGGGCGCACGGGGCTGACCCACACGGCTCAGGCCGTCCTTGCCGTGAAGGGGACGCTGAGGGGTCCGGTCCGCGGCGCCCCACACTCACCCGGCTTACGCTTCAGCGCCATCAGGGACACTAGATAGTGGGCGATGTCAAAAAAGGGGAACATGGACGTGCGGGAGAAGGCCAGAGCCAGCTCATCCCACGGAAAGTCCATGGCGACTACCGACCGCGGCGGCCGAGACAGCCGCGGTGACCGG